TTTTTTTTTTCTTTTTAAAGTGAAAAGTGAAGCACTAGAAATTAACTAAGTTAGTATAGTTAGCTTGCTATAATAATCTCAGAAATTATGAGTCTTATTTAAACCATACTAGACTTGCTATCTCATCCAGTACATTTGTGTTTTCATGAATGTGTGTATAATTTTATATGTATATACAGTATCTATAAAAATGTTCAAGAACAAATCAACTGTAGTAGATAACATCCGCATCTGATCTTCAAAATTTGTGAATATGTCACCTTACCAGGAAAAAGGGACTTTGCACCTATAACAGAATTTAGAATCCTGAGATGGGAATATCCTGGTTTATCTGGTTGACCATATATAATCACCAGGGTCCTATAAAAGGGAAGAGAAGTTTCAGACCTAGAGAAGGAGATGCAGTGATGGATGCTGAGGTCAGAGTGATGTGGTCCTAAACCAAAGAGTCTAGGCAACCTCTAAAAGCTGTAAAAGAGGAAACAGAATCTCTTCCTGAGACCATTTGGAAGGAATGAAGTTCTTCCAATATGTTGAATTTAATTCCTGAAACCCATTTAGGAATTCTGATCTAAAGAACTATAAGAGAGTAAGATTGTGTTTTCTTACACCACTGTGTTTATGGTAATTTGTTTCAGCAGCAATGGGAAACCCATACATTAACCCAAATTCCATTTACCCAAAGGAATGACTTTTTCTTAAATGACTTCCTGACCCCTGTTTCTTTCTCTCTGCAAAAGATATGAGGTTGGGTGGTCAGGCAGGCAGGCAGGGAGAGCTGGCCTGGAAGCCAGAACAGCTGAGGGTCATTAGTGTGCAGCCAAGGCAGTGGGAGTGGGAAGGTGTGGGCGGGGCCTCTGGCTGGTGATTGAAGCCATCTGGACCAAGGAAACTTGGATGGAACAATTTGAAGGGAATTCTGCTTTGTTTGGATTTGGTTCTGTGCAATCCCCCTCAATAAGCAACTTGAATCTCTTTCACATTATAATGAGGCCAAGTCAACTGAAGCTTTAAATAGGAAATTATTCCACTCTGGAGAAATACTAATTTTCATAAGGAAAATGCCTTCAACCAAATTAAAGAGTTATTTTCAAATCCTTCCACTCCTTTCTCACTTCTCTATCAGTTAAACAACTCTCTCAGCACAGTGTCAGAGCACATTATTACTTTATCATTTTAAAAAGAGATTCTAAAAAGAGAGGCTGGGTAAATATTTGAAGATCCTGATACAATATTCACAGAAGTACAACCTTAAAGAGAGTATAATGATATAAAAATAACTTTTTTTTAAAA